CCTGGAAAATCACGATTCCAAATTCTAACTTTAAAACTGGACTACCACTGATGCCGACAGTAAATACTTAACGCTAGCCACGTGGCAGGCTAAACAATCTCTCATCAACTGACACTCGTGCCACGTGGTAACAGTTATAAAGATTAGCATAACACAAGATCAAATTAGAGGTAAGAAGATTTTATAACAATTTTTAAGCATAAGTTTGAGAATTCCAAATATTAAAATACCCTTTTGGAAACAAGTAATTCATTTGTAACGTATCAAATTTCAACTCGTCAGTGAAATCGTTTTATTCTTTTCTCCAGGCCGCGGGCCATTAATTTACGGAAACAAACAAACAGGAGGGACTGGAAAAATATTTAGGACAAGTTATCAGGTAAGTTTCTAGTTAGAAGTGCTTTCTTTTAAAATCAGCTTTCGAAACATTTTTTTTTAATTCGGACTCGAACGTCGATAACAAGCTTCCGTAACAAGCATTCAAACTATCTCTTTCAACAAGGTAGGCTTTGTTCACGCGACTTCTTGTTTTGAAGATAATGATGAATTTTTACACGTTCATAGTCAGCCGAAATATTTTTTTGTTCTGCAAAACTGCAATTAACTTTCGGAATTGAACATCATACGCCTTATTCTAAAATACAGATGTTAAAAAAAGTGAAATATTATAAAACCACTCTTAAAATGATAGACGATACTAATTCCTGATATTAAAAGTTACAAAAATATCCAGTTCATATTTTGCCACTGCAAAACTAAAAAAAAACGGTTGTCAATATTCAGTTTGTGTGACTACTAAAGAATTGATCATTACAATATAAGACTTTATCGCAAAAAGAAATAGCTAGAATTAATTCCTATATAATGGCAAGACATTAGCTAGATGAAGGTGCCATTGCCACTTGCCTAAATTTACTATCACTAAAGAGGTGGCAGTTTAAAATATGGGAAGTACTTCTGCCGCACCCTGTACTTTTTATGACTCAACGAGAAATACTGATTTTTCATTAATCTATGTGGTTACGTGTGTTTTTTTTTATATATTGATCTAAGTATCGATTAGTAATACTGTAGACGTATTGCTTGAGGTATAAAATCTATAAGACTGAGATTCATTTCACAATATTTCTCTCCAGGTCAATGATTTTAAGACCGAACTAGTATAAAAATAATTCAAACAAGAATTTTTTGGTTCGTTACATATTCAGAGAAAAAGCGAAACGGGCATGACAGGAATTCGTTGAACAAAGTCAAATTAAGCACAAAGGTTCTTTGCCCATCATCATATAAGTTACAGGCTGGATACTCAGGGCGCCTCGGAATCTGGTAATGGTAGCAAGAATTTCAAAGAGGTACCCGGACGAGGCTGTGCCGAAGGGCAGAGTCTCGTCCGAGGAGGTAGACAGACCCGAAACCATTTATGCGGGTTCAACGGGGATTTTTTGGCCTAAACTATGGGCTCGGATGACCCACTCGGCCTTATGCCACATGTGCTCTCGTTGGGGGTCACTGAATATAATGGTAGCAAGAATTTCTAATTCCCCACTACTACTGAGTATTGAGCTCGATCCTTACAGAGTGCCCCATACTTGTGGTCTTGTAAGTTTCATAAATAGCAGCTGGATACTTCACAAACAACGTGGGTTTGACTCACATTTGCCTATCTTTATAAATCCTTAATGTAGTGGTTCACAACCATGGTGGGGGTATTGTCTATATCCTTGGGGTAAGTTAAACAATTTGTGGGGATAGGAAGATTCAGACTGTTGGAATACTGATCTTTCCAAAAACTACAATTCTTAAAACGGAGAATGACATTGTGAAAGGTGAATGCGCAAAGGTCAAGAATTACTGTTCATATATAGTAAAAAGGTCAAGTGTATACGTGTACATCGGCAAAACTTTATATATGCAACACTTGTATCTATTAGAAAAATTTCGATAGACATCAGTTTTTTTTTTCTTTTTAAATATTTACCAACTTAGCTTAGTTACAGCACATTGTTAGATAAATATGGGTAAGAAGACTACGTTCAGCCAATATTCCAAAAGACGAATGCGTGTCTGTCTTTAAAAAAATCATAATTCAAAACCTTTATTTATTTATTTATTTTACTTTGCCAGTGTCCCATACGCAATTAACTCAAATCTAGAATTTCTTTTTGAAGCCTATACAGACATTCAGCAAAATAGTGATATACGTCAGTGTCACGTCACGCGTCTCGTAACCCATTATAGTCGTAAGAGTACCAACGGTAGTTGCAGCCGTAGCAGCAGTGGTGTGTATTAGCTTGACGAAGTCTGTTCCTCTTTAGTCGAGATTTGAATTCAGCGTTTTCCTTCTAGACTGGCAGCCATCTGTCATGACATGCTATTTAACCCGTAACTGGGAGGTGGGAGGTAGAAGATACTGAGTTAAGCATTTTCCAAGGATATTTGTGCGAGTGATACGTTCTTGTAGCAATTTGCATATGCTATCTGTGTGTACATCTTTTTTGTTAACACACAAGATACGAATTAAGTTTCAAATTTCTGCTGCTAATAGTATCTTATTTCTAAATTAAACAATGTCAGCGATTATCATTAATTTTTACCTGTTTTTTTTTTACTTTCATTCTGATTTTTAGTCGTTTATATCGCAACTTCCTTGTTTAAATGCAACAATAGAATTCCAAGTGTTAAAGAGGGAAGAGTCTTTTTCTTTTTCTTTTTCTTTTCTTTTTTTTTTTTTTTTTTTTTAGGTTATTTTCAATCCATTGATTTTGTAGCGTTCCTAATAGCTCAAAACGCCTGCCACGCTTAATCAAATAAAAAGAATGAAAAAAAGCTTCGAGTTTCTCTGGGACCTCTTTATTCGTATTTTCTAACGAATTGTTTTTTCTCGTTTCGAGGAAACTGAGACGAAAAGGCTAAAAGTTACTGTTCAAAATTGATATTACAGCTACACATAATAGCGATTTCGCTGCCGAGTTGAAATTTTATACATCACAAATGATATACTTGTTTTCAGAAGAGGATTTCAATATTTGGAAGATGTCGAAACCTTCTGCTTGAAACTTGTTACAAAATATTAAACAAGTTTGTTTTTATGAAATATCTTTTCTATAAATTATCAAACTTTTTCTATGAGAAATTTTTTTAAAAATCTGCTTTTTATAAACGTATATTTTCTGTTAATTCACCCCAAATAATGTAAACTTACTTATCGCAGATATAAATTAGCCAAGTAATTATGAATTTTAAATAAAAATTTGTTTCGCTTGCCTCACAACAACTCCAATTCTCAGAGTGAAAATTTACTAAAAATCAAGGAACTATTCACATTTCGCAAGTGCGGGTGATATTCAAAGTACTTACAAGGAATTTTTTACAATTTACAAAAAATTTTTTTTAAATCTGTTTCTGGATTGTTTTTCGGGGTGAGTGTGACGCAGACCCCACACTTAGAACTAGTGCACCCGAGTCACCCATATTTGGGGCGATCGCAAATTTTATCCCAACCGGTGTGCAATGGAAGGGCCTAGCTCTCGGAGAATTTCATGGTAATTTTAGTAAATACAAATTCTTTTTTATTTTAGAGTGAATTAAAAATAAAAGATCCTTTATAAACTATTAAAAAGGTTTAATAAATGTCTGCAATATTTTTGTACAATATTGAAAAAGATCTTTCTCAACTAAAATCTTTTTTGTAAAATATTTTAAAAACGATTGTTAATTTTAGAAAAAAAAATAGGCTGAGATTTTTTACAGTTCACATTTGTTTTGTTTTTGTCATAACTTAAAGATAACACTACAGGTTTATTAGAACAATTTGATTATAAAAATGACGTAGAGTGTCTAATAAATATTTTTAATGAATTAATTGATAGTGAGAACTTCGTGTTGTGACCTTGAGTTTTTAATCGATGCACTTACAATCTGCACCTGAGTTAATCAGTTAACCCAACATTGTTAATAAGATAGTTTTGCGAGCATTTTGTATTTCCCGCAAATCTTTTAAGTTTCGCTTTCTCATTTAAAAACTATGCTCAGTGTTTCGCACTATGAAGGACTTTTTATTACAAGATTTTCCAATAAAAGAGTTAGATATTTCGAAAGGTCTTCATCAAGTATATTCAACGTGTCACAATTAATATTGATAAATTCCAGAAAACTATAATCTGCACAAATTTAAAAGCAATGTTAATCACTATCTACTGTCCTCCTGATTGCTCTTTTCTCTTTCTACTCATTACTAATATTTCCGTTCCTAATTCTTCCACACCCTGTAACCCCTTGCTGTACTGACTGTCTTGGTTGGGGAGATACCGAACTAATATATATATATATATATATATATATAGAGAGAGAGAGATAGATAGATATATATATATATATATATATATATATATATATATATATATATATATATAGATATAGATAGATATATATATAGATAGATAGATAGATATATAGATAGATAGATAGATATATATATAGATAGATAGATAGATATATATATATAGAATAGATATATATATAGATAGATAGATATATATAGATAGATAGATAGATAGAGATATAGAGAGATAGAGAGAGAGATAGCTTGCTAGCTTCGTAAATGAAATTTCAATGTATTTTACACCATTGATCATTGTTGGAGCCCGGTAAAAAAAACAAAAAAAAACAAAAAAAACAGGTTTTTGAAAGCTGATTTTATACGCGTAACAAATTCTTTATATTTGCATGAAAATTCCGTTTTAATAAATTTAGCTTAATAATTATCACCATTAATTAGAAATAAGTTAACTTTTTAAAAATTCTTCTTTATAGGCTATAGACTTGCCTATTCAATTAATATTCCTATAATTAAGACTTAATTGGCTATTCAGCTAATTAAACTTAGTTAACAGGCTAATTAATCAGACGTTTATATGACTTTAAAACTCAAAGAAATAAAAAAAGAAGAAAAGGAAAGAGAAGATAAACTGAAATGAATGTGGAAAAAATATTTAACTTACATTTCAAATAAAACAGGCCGGAATGATACTTGAGCAGAGTTCAGGAAACTTATCTCGGATGAATGTGGGTCTCCCCTTTAGGTGTTTGTTGTTATATGTACTGTGAGTGCCACGAAGGTAGCTAATTGTCCAATGGTTGTCGTCTCACCTGGGACCAAGCCGCCGTGGAACGTCCACATTGTTGGCCAGCCAACTCGCCGAACTCGCCACCGTAACAAGGCGAAGTGTTGGCGTGTCGACGTCACAACATTTATCGATTTATTTGCATTCAAAGTAGGGAGCTAATTCCCAAAGGAAAGGAAAGTAGAGACCCGAAGTGTCGTCGTCACCATTATCACTAGCATCATCATAACTATTATCATTATTATTGTTAATGTTTTGGTTTGTGTGTGTGTGTTTTCCTCGTTCATTGTAAAAGAGTAATATTAAAAACAAAATAACAGCCTAGATATACACATTTATAATATATATATATATATATATATATATATATATATATATATATATATATATATATATTTTGAACAATAAGAAAATTAAAAATTAAAAATTAAAATCATTAGACACACTGGGTTGTAGATTAATATTCTTTCGTTTTTTATTATTATTATTATTCCATTTAGATTCCTCGACTAGTTTCGACCGAAATGGCCATCATCAGGAGGCGAAATATTTCTGCTTGCTGTTGGCAAGGAACTACAGAAATGAATATATATATATATATATATATATATATATATATATATATATATATATATATATATATATATATATATATATATATATATATATATATATATATATATACACACACACATATATATATATATATATATATATATATATATATATATGTATATATGTATGTATGTATTCAACCATGGAGCCTGAGTTCAAATCTCTCCATGGCATGTTTATGAGGGAGGTACTGAATTCTGGGACCATTTCTAGGGACATAATACTTTTAGGGGTAGGGGATATTCATTGTGTATGTATTAATGTACGTATGTATGTCATCGCTCTCCCAATCTACCTATCTCCTTCCTCTCCTCCCGCTCTCTCCCCTCCTCCATACACACACACACACACACACACACACACACACACACATATATATATATATATATATATATATATATATATATATATATATATATATATATATATATATATATTTAAGTAATGAAAATCTTGCTAATCTTAGTAAACCGTATGGATAATCCCAAGGATCAATTTAAAACTACCCCTCAAAAAGTATATAAAAAAAAATATATGTAAATTTAAATTAATTCATTTTAGGACCCTTGGAAGTGTTGTTTACGGGCCAGGGAAAAAGAAATTCCCTGGGGACATAAATTATAACCAATGGATCCTTAAAGTTGTCTGTTTTCATTCTATATATATATATATAATCTTCAAATGTAAAAGAACGACAAGAATATAAATTCAAACGTTCATAACATTAATTTAAAAAAGGGCTCAATACTAGAGTAGATATATATATATATATATATATATTTATATATATTATTATTATTAAATATAATAGAAAATGAATGTCTGTTATGTCTGATCATGAGCCGATCGAGTGTTTGTTTTAATTTCTGATGAAAATAAACATACACACACACACACACACACACACACATATATATATATATATATATATATATATATATATATATATATATATATATATGTATGTATGGGGTATAATATTTGATCTTATGTTTGAAATAGACTGGCCTAAGAAATTTTCAGGGTTCCTTACACACACAAATATGTGTGTGTGTTAGCGAGACTGATTTTATTATGCAAATAAATGTTTGTGTTTTTGAATAGCATTAACCAAATCATGTTGGTAAAATATTCCGAATGTACATATATTCTTATATTGAATGTATCATATGAAGTTTGTTTTATTAAAATATATTTACAATAGTATATTTGGTGGTGTGAGATTTATGATGGACCTCGTGTGTTCTTCACCATATTGTAAATAGAGATGAATAATAGTACAGTTATTGATATTTACTTTTCAAGTTTCCGATATCCAGTTTCCCCCAATGAGGGCCTCTGATCAGGAGGTTTTGAGGAGCGTGGAACCACCTCTTAATTGCTAGTGTTCCCAGGTCCACCCTGATCCGGTGTGGTAGCACCTGTTAGGGTCCCAACTATGGGCAAATAGCTAACCCCGAAACTGGGGTAAAAACACTATGAAAGTGTAAAAATAGGTTTTAATATCAGAAATATTTGTAAAAAAAATTATTACCAGCAATACATTTTTGAAAAAAAACATTACCAACAATACATTTAAATATATATATATATATATATATATATATATTAACAACAATACGTTTTTGAAAAAATATATTACCTGCAAGACTTTTTTGAGAAAAAAATATGTTACCAGCAATACATATTTGAAGGAAAAAATTATTACTAGAAATATATTTTTGACAAAAAACAAAATATTACCAGCAATAAAAATTTTGTTGGCATTGACAATTATATTTTTGTCGGCATTGACATTGATATGCCGTAAAACAAAACAAACTAAACCAAATAACCAAAGTTTACGATTGTTAATAAGAAAGATAAAGCCTCAAAAGAGAAACAAAATATTGTAATGATATCTAAGTGGTCAGAATAGACTTTTAGAAATTATGATAAATTTGAACAGATATCACTGAAAAATGGAAAAAGAAATTGAATACATTGACAAGGTATTCGGTTTTTGAAAAGAAAATTTAACAAAATTTAAAAGGTTAATAAACGAAAATTTGCAGAATATTAAGAAAATTGACTAAAAACATGAAAGAAACCAAACTGAAACTTTTAATAATCACAGAAATATAACGTCGGTTGAGAGAAGTGGTACATTAAATTTGATTCGTCAACCGGAATATTTTACTGATGAATTGAACTCTATATTGAATGGACAAAATGATTTTGACTAGACGTTATGTCCATCATAAAAATGATCACGTAACTGTATTCAATATACAATATTTGAAAATGGAGTAGTGTTTTCACCTAGCCCCATAGTTATTAAAATTATAGTCTTCTTTATATCTGATGGCAAGATAAAAGCAGAGAAATTTCATCTACAAAGCATTTTAAGTTGTACATATTACAATGAAGAAACTTTAGGCTAAAGAATATATGTATGGAATGCTGCCTCACATTAATGGAATGTTCCCCAGCGTCTTCAGATTATAATCAAACCGAAACTTGTAGTCTATCATTAAAAGAGACGTATCGAAGTATGGAAAACAATATTCAAACTATAAAGATATTTAAAAAAAAAAAACTGCTTCAGATAATGTTAAAGTTGATGATGGCGGTTATAGAATGCCAAGGAGGAAATATTCACTTGTAAAATAATGATGATTATGACACATATCGGTTTCCGCAACTTGGAAATTGTTCTGATGAACTTTCCTCTTTAGTACCTAAAGGTTATGAACTTCAGCGCAGTACTAGATTGGCGGCTACGTGTCAACATTTTACTGCTGGAATGGCTAGAGGTAACTGAAAGTTCGATGCTAACAGTTACTTCTCTCGCACATCAAGGAACTCTCTTCCGGCTTCTTGCTTTCCAAGATATATAGTCTATATATATATATATATACTATATATAGAGAGAGTAAATATATATATATATATACTATATATAGAGAGAGAGAATATATATATATATATACGATATATATAGAGTATATTACAGTATTTACATTAGTCGGACTATTGTCCTCATCTTTGTCGCCATATTTGTCACAACGTTTCGGCCGTTGTACGCTCCGGCCTTCTTCAGGTGGTTGGAATTTCGAACTGAACCCTTTATTTCGATCGCTGGGGTAGACTGTTCTAATTCCACGTGCCATGTTTGATGGATGTCAGTTATCAGTTATCTCCTGCTAATTTTCCCTCTGAAAGTTCTCCACTGCCTTAACCAGGAATTGAACTCACCTTCTTTGGGTCTGTCACTGGATCTAACCAACACCTTTATCCACTGTGCCATGTGTCCTTACTCGATATATATATATATAGTATATATATATATATACTCCATATTATATATATAGTATATATATATATATATATAGTATATATATATACATATATATATATATATATATATATATATATATATATATATATATATATATATATATATATATATATATATATATATATATATATAGTATATATATATATATACATATATATATATATATAGTATATATATATATATATATATATATATATATATATATATATATATATATATATATATATATATAGTCTATATATATAGTATATATATATATATATATATATATATATATATATATCTATATATATATATATATATATATATATATATATATATATATAGCTCTATATATTATATATATATATACATATATATATATTATATATATATATATACTCTATATATACATATATATATTATATCTATATATATATATATATACTCTATCTATATATATATATATATATATATATATATATAGTATATATATATATGTCTCTAGTTTAAATATAGTTTAAATATATATATATATATATATCTATATATATAGTATATATATATTCTCTATGTATATATATATATATATATATATATATATATATACTCTATATATATATATATATATATATATATATATATATATATATATATATATATATATATATACTATATATATATATATATATAGTATATATATACATATATATATATAGCCTATATATATATATATACTAGCTATATATATATATATTATATATATATATATATACTCTATATATATAGTATATATATATATATATATATCTCTCTATATATATATAGTTTATATATATATATATATATAATTTATATATATATATACTTCTATATATATATAGTTTATATATATATTTATATATATATATATATATATATATATATATATATATATATAAAATCTCTAATATATATATATATATAGTATATATATATATATATATATATATATATATATATATAAAATCTATAAATATATAGTATATATATATATTCTCTATATATATATATATATATATATATATATATAAAATGTATAAATATATAGTCTATGTATATATATATATATACAGAGAGAGT